TAAATAATATTCGATAAATAGAATATTCCAAAAAAAATTCTATAAATCGAACGGGGTGTTACATATGTATTATCAGTATCCGCTCGGAATGGTCGCCGGTCCATTCTGAGTTTTAGTGGCCTTAGTCTGCCCACTACAGTGTGCACATGGTGTCCGGCATTTTTATGCTGGCAGATGTTTAGGTATCAGGCAGGTGATGATTATCACGACATTAGTATCAGATCATGATTATTCAGTACCGGTTTCAGTTCAGTTCAGTTATATATGCCAGGATCATTGTAATAACCCAACTTCTTGTTAATAAAAATGATGTATTTTTCTTTTATCGATTTCGTTCATTTTCAGCCAATATATTCGACGTTAAGTCGAAAAGTCAATTCGGTCAATTATTAACTGAGTCAAATTCGATAATTAATTTCCGAACCGTTTATTTTATAAACGGACATTATTAATCGGGATTAATTATTGAATGTTGAGGATCTATCTAAGTTCGAGGTTAAAAATCAAGTTATGTTGTGAGCGAGCACAAGGTACATCATGTACATACGCGTACGCGCACGTCGCACGCACTAGTACGCAAAGTCGCGCACAAGAACGCGCACATCGCACATCACTGCGCGCAGCGCATATGCGTGCACTATTAGGCGCTAAGCACTCACTTATACTACCCTAAGCGCCATGATCATAATTAAGTAAGCTAAGTCTTAATCTTCCAAATTGCCGTGAGGAAAGTTAAAGGGATGAGTTTGGGTTGCAAGTTGTAGTGATGATTCACCTAGTAGCTTAACACATGGCTTAAGCCTAGCACATGGTGGATGACTAAGCATACGCATGCGATCCACCTAGACGATGACTAAACCAAACACGGCACACCTCAGCACACGACCCAAACACATGCCAACAAGAGGAGAATGCATCATCAACCACCCCTTTGACCCAATTTTCACCCACGGTTTTCACTATAAATAAAATGACCGAACGTGTAACAATTCTTCATGCATTTTCATGCACAAAACCGAGCCTAACTTCAGCAAGAATAGAGGGAAAATAGTAAAGAAAATATTGTAGAAAAATAGTACAAAAATAGCTAAGGAAAGAGGGAGCAAAGGAGAAGCAAGAACGTCCGCGACCGAGCACCATACACGCACGCACATCATCGTGCATTCCACGTCCGAACTGAAGGGTACATTCTTGTTTACCCTCTCTTTATGTATTTCAGTTCATTATAAGAAGATCATGTCGAAATCTCGTTGTTCGGTTCAAGTTTTATATGAAAATGCCCTCGGAGATGACATATAAGCTCCCTCCGAGTAATTTCAATTTTTAACCGGCAAGTCCCGAACACTTTATTCATATTTAAGTAATTTAAGTCAAATCATGTCCAGTCATAAGTGGATTGCCGGGAAAAGTAGCCGGACGACCGGCGAAACGCCGACCGTGATGCCTATCCCACGTGGAGTGCGCGCAGGCACGCCCGACAAGCCCAGCGAGTACACAGGCAGCGTCCGCGCGCCCAGTAACGCGCACGCGTGGCCGGTACTCGGCAGTCAGGCCCCAGTCATGCGCGTAGACGTGCAAGGTGCGCGTCAACACGCCAGTCGCGTACACCGCAGCGCATCACATGCCCAGCCGCATGTCCTACGACGCTGGTACGCACGCCAGTCG